CCTGGAGGGACACGGGCACCCCAAAACAGACCCTGGTACCCCTCAATGAGCCCAGGAAGGGACCCAGGCACCCCAAAGTGGATTGTGATGTCCCAGAGGGGGTCCTGGCACCCCAAAACAAGCCACGGCATAACAAAACAGACCCAGGCACCCCAAAATGAGCTCTGAGGGCCCAGGGTAGGTACTTGTACCCCCAAACTGACCCAAGTACCCTGGAAATGGTTCTGACACCCCAGAGGGTATCCGGGAACCCCAAAACAGACCTTGGCACCCTGAGATGGGCCCTGGCACCACCTGAGGGAAATGGCCACCCCCAAAAAACCCTGGCACTCCAAGATGGGTCCTGGAACCCCAGAAGGACCCAGGCACCCCAAAACAGGGACTGCTATCCCAAAACAAGTCCTGGCACCCCTGGAAGGGTCCTGATGCCCTAGAAGGGACCCTCGTACCCCCAAACAGATATTGACAGCCCAGGATGGGTCCTGGCACCCCAAAACACAGCCAGACATCCAAAAAGGAACCTGGGCACGTTGGCACGGTCACAGACACCCCAGGAGGGACCCAGGTGCCCCAGGAGGAGTCCTGGTACCCCAAAAGAAACCCGGGCACCCACAGATGGGTTCTGGCACCCCAACACAGACCCGGGCACCCCAAGATAGATCCTGGCAACCCCAAATAGGTATTGGCGCCTTGGGATGGGTCCTGGCACCCCAAAACTGGTCCTGGCACCCCAGGAAGGGAGCCGGCCACCCCAAGATTGGTCCTGGCAGCCACAGATGGGTCCTGGCACTCTAAAACAGATTCTAGAACCCCCAAACAGACCCAGAGACCTCAAAAGTTATCTGGCAACACCAAGACTTCTCCCAGTCCCCCAAGAACGTCTTGGGAACCCCAAAACAACACCAGGCACCCCGAGATATGGATCCCACCACACTCAGATTGATCTAAGCACCCCAATATCGTCCTGGCACCCCAAAACGCCCCAGGCAGCCTGGGATGAGCCCTGCCCCACAGCCCACCCCCCTCAGTTATCAACACTCCCGAATTTCCCAGGTTTTATTCCAGCAGCAAGCAGAACAGGGAGGGAGGCCCAGACCCCCCAGTTGCCACCCCCCGTCCCAGAGGGGACAATGGGGGGGTTGGAGCCCCCCGGGGGAGACTGGCACTGGTACTGGCTCAGGTCGTCAGCAGAGGGTGCCTGGTGTCCTGTGGGGAGCTGGGGACCCCCAACAAGAGGGCCAGCATGGAGGGGGGACACACCAAGGGCAGGGCTCAGCAGGTCAGGACATGGGGGACCCCCACAGGAACGGAGGGACCCCCCCAGGAAGGGAATGGGCTCAGCTGGCCTGGACAAGGGGGACCCCCCACCAAAGATCCCCCCAGAACATGGACAGGACCCCCCAGGAAAGGGGAATCAGGTAGCCTGGATTGGGCAGGAAAGAAGGGACCTGGGGGGGGGCTCAGAATGTCAGGGCATGGGGGACCCTCCCCCACACCTCGGAAAAGGGGGTTCAGCTTGGGAGGATATGGGGGAGCACCCTGAGAAGGGGAGGCCCAGGGGTCTCAGCTGGGCTGGACAGGAGGGACCCCCAGGAAAGGGGGAGGGCTCAGCTGGGCCGGACATGGAGACCCCCCCCTCGGGAAAGGGGGTTCGCTCGGCCAGGACTTAGGGGGACACCCTGGGGGGGGGCAGGGAATGTGGAGGAGCCCCCTGGGAAAGGGGGGCTTCGGTTTGTGTGGGCATGGGGGACACCCCAGAAAGTGGGGCCCAGGGGGGACTCAGCAGGTCAGGATTTGGGTTTGCTCAGGAAAGAGGGGGGCTCAGCTCAGCCGGCCAAGCCAAGGCCTGGGGGCTCCCCAGGAAAGGCGCTTCAGCTTTCCAGGACGTCGGAGGACTCGGACACGAGCTTCCCGTCGCGGGTCTCGATCTTCTTGATGACGATGGCCCGGGATTTGAGGGGGGCCGTGCTCTCGGGGGGCGGGGGTGGCACCGAGTACCCTGAGCTGACCACGGCCCCCCCAAAGGCCCCCCCAAATCCCCCCCCTAAACCTCCCCCGAGTCCACCTGTGAGGAAGAGGGAGCAGCTGTGAGGAGGGGCACGGGGGGGGCACCCAAAATCGGGGGGTTCCGGGGACCTCCCCAAACTCACCCAGGTACCCCGAAGGCTTGGTGTGGATGCTCAGGTTCTGCACAGCAGCCTCCAGCCTGGGGGGTCCCCCAAATAGGATCAGTGATGGGGTGGGGGATAAAGGACATGGCCTGGGGGGAAATCTGGGGGCGGGAAAGGTTGTCCCCCAAAACTTTCCCCTGAAGAGGAGCAGTGATGGGGGGGTTTATTTAAGGGACATGGCCAAAGTGCAGGGGGTGGGAGGGGGATCCCCCAAACTGAGTGGTTTTGGGGGGAGAGGAATAAGGGACATGGTCAGGAGGGGGAGATTTGGGATGTTCATAGGATGTGAGAGATGGGACATGCAATGTCCGTGGGATATGGGATACCCACAGGGTAAGGGACATGGGATATGGGATGTCCATGTGACATGGGACAGCCACAGGATATGGGATGTGGGATATGGGATGTCCATGTAGTATGGGATATGGAACATGGGATGCCCCTGGACTGTGGGGTCCTCGCAGGATACGGGACATGGAGCACAGAATGTTCATGGTATCCAGGATGAAGGGTGCGGTAAAGGGGATGCCCATGGGATATGGGATGGAACATGGGACACCAGGTGTGAGATATGGATGCCCAGAGGTTATGGGATGTGGGATGCAGTGGGTTATGGGATGTGGGATGCCCATGGGATCTGGGATCTGGGATTTGGGACTGGGGCTTCCCACCTGCTCTCCTCGCCCTCCAGCAGCTTCCTGTATGTCGCAATCTCGATGTCCAGGGCCAGCTTGACATTCATGAGCTCCTGGTACTCCCGGAGCTGCCGGGCCAGGTCCTGCTTGGCCTGGGTCAGGGCCCCCTCCAGGTCGGTCAGCTTGGCCCGGGCGTCCCTCAGTGCCAGCTCCCCGCGCTCCTCAGCCTCGGCCACGGCCGCCTCCAGCCCAGAGCGCTGCAGGACAGGACGCTGAGCCCAGCATGCCCCCGGCCAGTGTCCCCATCACCCAAAATCCCCAGTATCCCAATGTCCCTTGCCCCCTCAGTGTCCCCATGTCCAAGTATACCCAGTGTCCCAGCATTCCATGTCCTGTCATCCTCTGTGGTCCAGTGTTCCTGTGTCCCAGTATGCCTCACCCTCCAGTATCCCTCACATCCCACTATGCCTCACCCCCCTTTTCCCACCAGTATTCCCAGTCCCCAAAATCCCACACGTCTCTGACCATCGCTCTCTCCTCCCGTTTCCCAGATGACATCCCAAGGGATCCTCAGGAATCCAGTGTGGGGGTTCCCAGGGGGTGCTGGGGGATGTGTGGGGGAGGGGCAGGCCGTATGCTTCCAAATTTCCATCAAAGTTGGACCCCAAACCTGGTTTTTCAGTGCCTCAATCTCTGCCTGGATCCGCTGGATGCGCCGGTTCAGCTCCTGGATCTGGCCGCGCGTCTGGCGCAGGTCGTCCCCCTGCTTCCCAGCTGCTGTCTTCAGCTCTTCGTACTGGAGACACCAGACAGGGGGGGGTGGCAATGTGGGCATCCCCCAAACCCACCAGCGCCCCAAAACTGGTAGGAAAAAGCTGGGATGTGGCCAAACTTGGAGGGATAGTCCAGGGTGGGATGTGGTAGGTCTGGATGGCTTTGGGGCTGCGATCTTGGAGGGATGGAGATGGGGGGATCCCCGTTTTTCACCAGCACCCAAAAAAACTGGGATGGAAGAGCTGGGATGCAGTGGAGGCAGGAGGGATGCCCTGACAGGGATGTGGTAGCTTCAGTTGGAATTTGGGGGGTCCAGCTGGATTTGGAATCAAGATCCTGGGGGAATGGAGATTGTAGGGACCCCTCTTTTCCCCCAGCACCCCAAAATTTGGGATGGAAGACCTGGGATTTGCCTGTATGAAGAAGGATGTTCCAACTGGGATCTGGGATCTCAAGGGATAGAGATGAGGGGACCCCTCTGTTCCCCAGCACACCAAAACCAGGGTGGAGAGAGCTGGGATGTGGCCACGCCAGGAGGGATGCTCCAGCTGGGATGCCATGGGTCCGGTTTGGAGTCAGGGTCTTGGTGGGATGGGGAGGGGGGAGCTTAATTTTTCTACCAGCACCCCAAAAATTCAGAGGAAAGAGCCGGGATGCAGCGCTGCTGGGAGGGTTGGTCCAGCTGGGATATGGCAGCTCTCATCGGGATGTGGTGGGTCTGGCTGGGCTTCAATCTGGGATCCCAGTGAGATCAGGCCCCCACTCTGCACCAGCATCCCAAAACGGAGGATGAAAGAGCCTGGGAAATTCTGGCACTGGGATCTGCACCAGGAATGGAGATGGGGGCCCCTCCCTGCCCCGTGGCTCCCCGGCACTGGGGTGAGCCCACGCCAGGGGGAACACTTCAGGCTGGGATGTGGCAGCTCCGGTTGGGTCTCCAGCCAGAATTTCTCCCACGCAGCAGCTGCTCCCTCCAGGGCAGGGAGGAAGATGAGGAGGATGAGGAGGATGAGGAGAAGGAAGATGAGGAGGAGGAAAAGGAGGAGGAGAAGGAGGAGGAAGGATTTGGGGCAGGGAGGAGGAGGAAGAGAAAGATGTTTCAGGAAGCAGGAAGGAGGAGGAGGAGGATGGGGCAGGGAGAATGAGGAAGATGCAGCAAGGAGGAAGAGGAAGGCTCAGGGAACATGGAGGAGGTGACAAGGAGGAAGAAGGATTGAGGCACAGGGAGGAGGGGGATGGGGCAGGGAGGGAGGAGGATGAAGGCTTGAGAACTCGGAGTAGGATTGGGGAGCAAGGAAGAGGATGAAGACTTGAGAAGCAGGGAGGAGGAAAGCTCAGGGCAGGGAGGAAAAGTAGAAATAAGAGAGGATGGGGCAGGGAGGAGGATGAAGGCTCAGGGTGTGGAATAGGAAGAGGAAGTTTTAGGGAGAAAAGAAGAGGAAGATGAAGGTTTGGGGAGCAGGCGGAGAGGAGGAGGATTAGTGGTAAGCAAGGAGGAGGAAGAAGGTTTGGGGAACAAGGAGGAGGAGGAAGAGGAGAAGGAGGAGGAAGATGAAGGCTTGGGCAGCAGCAGGGGTGTGCTCTCCTGACCTTGACCTGGTAGAGGCCTTCAGCCTCAGCGCGGCTGCGGCCGGCGATGTCCTCATACTGCGCCCGCACGTCCGCCAGGACCCCGGCCATGTCCAGCTGGCGGCTGTTGTCCATGGACACCACCACGGCCGTGTCCGACACCTGCGCCCGCAGCTCCTGCAGCTCCTGCGCACACGGGGCACGCCTTTAGCAGGGGGGCACCCCTCAAATCCAGGCACCCCAAATCCCAGGCACCCCCAAACC